GATCATATGCCACTTCCTGAAATGGATGAAGATCGATCAGTTCTTTTTGGTACAGTGACTCTGTGTATTCCTGCCATCTTCTCTTGATGTTTCTTAGTTTAGGAGGCTAGAAGTCCGAGTTAATAGTGCCAGCTCTAGGGAGTGGGTGAAGGCCCCTCGATTTTGGGCTTAGCTCTGCTGTGTGTTCAAGGCCTACTAGAGTCGGAGGCTTTTTCTGACTCATGGAGCTGCTGGGTGCCGAAACGACAAACCCAATACTGACAGGTAAAATGTCACAGTTCCAAGATCAACAGGCATATGGCATGCCACTGATTCAAGTCCAGAAGCAATCCCAAAATTGGCAGGCAATGTGGCAGACCACTGGATAAAGACTCAACTAAATGCAGGATGCAGGTGTGCCTCACTACTATACCAATAAGCAACATCACAATTAATGGAGAAAAGATCGAAGTTGTCAAGGATTTTATTTTCCTTGAATCCACGATCAACATCTATGGAAGCAGCAGTCAAGAAATCAAATGTCATATTGCAATGGGCAAACTTGCTGCAAAAGACCTCTTTAAATTGTTAAGAAGCTAGGATATCACTTTGAAGACTAAGTTACACCTAACCCAAGCCATGGTATTTTCAGTTGCTTCATATGCATGTGAAAGCTGGACAGTGAATAAGGAAGACTGAGGAAGATTTAATGCCTTTGATTAAGGAAGACTGAAGAAGAGTTAATGCCCTTGAATAACAGGGTTGGCGAAGTATACTGAAAATACCATGGACTGCCGAAGAACAAACAAATCTACTCTGGAAGAATGCTACTTGCAAGCAAGAATGGCCAGACTTCGTATGACCTACTTTGATCATGTTGTCAGAAGTGACTGTTCCCTGGAGAAGGATATTATGCTTGGTATAGTCGAGGGTCAGTGAGAAAGGGAAAGACCCTCAACAAGATGGATTGACACAGTGGCTGCAGTGATATAGGCTTAAGTATAGCAGAGATTGTGAGAATGGTGTACTACTGGGCATTGTTTCATTCTGTTGAACTTAAGGTCATAATGAGTTAGAGTTGACTTGTCGGCACCTAACAACAACAAAGTGTGTTAAAAAGCTAGAGACCTTTCCCAGAGCTTCTGTTTATACTCTGGAAGCAAGCCACACCCGAAAAGCTACTCTCTAGCTGTGACAGCAGATTCCATCATGAAGGTGATTACTAATGTCATCATGAAGAATAATTACATCCATCTGCCCAGCCACTCAAAACCATGGCCCAGCCAAGTTGACACAAAACCTTAACTACTCCACATGTCCTTAAGATCACGTCTACTTTGAGGAGGCAGTTCTTGCTTAGTCCTGTTTTGAGTGTCTTCCAACCTGAGGGGCTCATCTTTCGGCACTATATCTGAAAATATGTTACTGCTATTCATAAAATTTTCCAGTAATATATCAGACAGTATTTCACTACTATTCATAAGTTTTTCAGTGGCCTGTTTTTTTAGAAGTGGTTGGACCCATTCTTTCTAGTCTGTCTTGTCTGGAAGGTCACTGAAACCTGTCCACCATGGGTGACCCTGCTGATATTTGAAATACTGGTGGCATAGCTTCTAGTCTCATAGAAATACTCAAGCCACCACAATGTGACAAACTGACAGGTGTTTGGTGGAGGTGGTGCTTTAAAAGTCCAACTCATAGTGATTTTTAAAGCATTGAGACTGCTTAGTGCTGGGAAGACAATGAAGTCACAATTTTAAAAAATATCAATTCTAGGAAGTCAAATATGCAACAAGTATAGTAATAGAGTCCTTTGGGAAATGTTAATCATTTGTTTATAAAGTATTTATAAATTTGTTTTGAAGACTGGTTTAATTCTTTTCCATTGAAGCTTAAACTAGAGCCTTTGATGTGTCTTTGCCTCACTTTCGAACAAGAAAATCTCTACTTTTTTCTCAGAAAATTAGGGGAGGTGGCTGTTAGAATGCCACAAAAGTTTAGTGAGTAAAGAGGTATTAGATTTTCACTGTAAAATTTAATGGCATAAATGGAACATATAGAAAGGAAGTAACTAATACTGTTTGTATTCATTTTGAATTTTTCAGGCACTTGACTAAATTTTTTTTCTATTTTTTCTTGTTAAATTACGTTTTCTTCCCCCTCTACTCTCTTAGCTTGATAAAATGTCAGAAGTAAATCTGTCATAGTCTCTTTCTTTTGAAAGGTTATGAACAATAGCACTGGAGACTTAGGTTGAACCACTTGGTTGGTTCCTAATATGCCATTTTGGTGTATTTTCCCTTAATGTCAGTTGAGAAACACTTCAAGTACTTCATAAAAGTTTGTAATTTCTCTGATGCATTTAATTGAAAATTAATGCTTTTTCATTTAAAAATAAAAATCCACAATTTAAATTTTGAACATTGATATTTCTGACAAAATGTTGAAAGCAGAGTTATTTAACATTAAGAATTGATATTCAAATTATTGTGTTTTGTAGAATGCATCAGAGATTAAAATAGCAGAAGAAAATGGAGCTGCATTTGCAGGAGGAACTAATCTGATTCAGAAGGTACGGTATTGTTTTCATGTTTAGTAGTTACAGAGAATGTTCTGTGATGTTTGCCATCCATTGATTTATTACATGTGAAATATAACCTCTGTGCCCATATCTTTTGATAAAACAATTAGTGGAACTTTATAGAACAGGAAAAATTTTCCTACTTTCGAAATCCAGGTAAGAAAAAACTATTCAGACAATGTGATATTAATTATGCTTGATTTACATTTAGTTTTTTTGCTGCTTGCTTTGTGTCTATGAGAATGGATGGGTAAGTTGGAAGGGGCAACATGACCATGTGGTTTTGAATGAGAGATTCAAATTGGGATCCAAAACACATGATATCTTCTTGTTTTGAAGATCACATATTTGTTTTGCTTCCATAGAGTGAAAAGTATGATCTGCTTAGTAGATCAGAAAATCTGATGTCTATAATATGGTATTTTGGGTTACTCTTAATATTTATCCTCAATTCAAGGTAGCACATGCACAGCATTGTAGTGACAAATGATTATATAGCCTGCTTTTAGAAATTAACAGAACTTGTGGATCCTGCTTGAAAATAAAAGCAACTTGAGGTAGGAGTAAGAGGCACATCTGGTGAATTCTGAAATACAAAAGATTCTCCTTTATGGTTTCCCAAAGCTCCTCTTCTAAATGTAATCATTTAGATAATATTTGACTGCTATTGAGTCAATTACAACTCATAGCGACCCTGACTGAGTTTCTGAGGTGGTAAATATTTACAGAAGTAAATTGCCCAGTCTTGGTTCTGCAGAGTAGCTGGTGGGTTTGAACCACCAACCTTCTGGTTAGCAGTCAGATGCCTTAGGCGCTGTGCTACCAGAATTCCTTTATATGTATATGTGTATACACATATACAAATATGCATGCTCTGGTGGCATAGTGTTATGTACTTGGCTGCTACTTGAAAGGTCAACAGGTCAAACCTATTTCTATGGGAGGAAAATGTGGCAGTCTTCTTCCAGAAAGATTACAGCCTTGGAAGCCCTGTGGGGCAGTTCTGCACTGTCCTATAGGATTGCTATGAGTCTGAATTGACTCAGTGGCAAAGGGTTTGGTTTGGTTTATGTATGCTATATTGGAGCAGAAAAAAGTAACTTGAAAATTTAGCCCTTATTTCATATCTAAATCCTCATTTGAGGAAGTTTTGACTAGGGATTTCCTTGAGATATACAGCAATACTTGTAGTTTGATGTTTTCTATGCTGCTGGTACTCTACATTTAATGGGCATTTTTAAGGAGAGTGTCTAGAATGATTGATTTTTGGGAATGGAACTAGTGGAAAATAGGAAGGAACTATGCTTTACTATAGATTCTAAGCCAAAGCCAGAGGGTGGTATCCAGTTCTTTCTACTGTATCATTAATATTAATTTTAAAAATTGTTAAAATTATTTTAATTATAAAAAAATAGACATACCGCAAATATTTGAATTTTTTTAAAAAGTGTTTATTGTGATTTGGGTGGAAGTTTACAGAGCAAATTGGTTTTGCATTCAATAATTCATATCTATCTTGATTTGTGACATTGATTGTAATCCCCGCAATGTAACAGCACTCTTCCTACTTCTTCCTTGTGTTTACCATTTCCATTCATTTTTCTTTCCTATGCCTTCCTTCCTTCTGAGCTTTATCCTTGGGCAAATGCTGCCCTTTTGATCTCATGTAGTTGGTTGTTCTAAGGATTGTGTACCTCCCTGGTTTATTGTTCACTTTATAGTCCTGTCTATTGTTTGGATGGAAGTTGAACCTTGGGGCTGCTTTCAGCTCAGGCTTAAAGGGTGTCTATGGGCCTTAGTCCCAGGATTCTACTAGTCTCTATCAGACCAGTAAGCCTGGGCTTTTTGAGTTTTGTTCCATATTTGTCTCCCACTGTATCCAGGACCTCCTACTGTGATCTCTTTCAGAGTGGTCAGCAGTGGTAGTGGGCACTATCTACTTCTTCTGGTTTCAGGGTCAGGAAGTTGGGGTTTCCATGATCCATTAGTCCTTTGGACTAGTTGTTTCCAAGCGTATTTGATTTTCTTTACTCTTCTTTGCTCTGGACAAGGAGAGATCAATAGTTGTACTTTAGATGGCCCCTTGCAAAAACTTTTAAGACCCCAATACTACTACTCACCAAAGTAGGATGTAGAACAATGTCTTTGTGGATTGTGTTATGCCAGTTGACCTAGATGTCCCCTGAGATATGATCCTAAGCTCCCAAGCCCAGTGACTTATTTCCTCAAGGTATTTGGTTATAGCTGGGAAATTTTCACAGTCTTGCCCCCTGTATGCTCTACTATATTCTTGGATATATTTTAGCGCCTATAAATACATAGGAGCTGTGGTGCCGTAGTGCTTAAGGCATTTGACTGCTAACTAAAAGGTTGACGGTTAAAACTGTGGCCGCTCTGTGGAAGGAAGATGGGGCAATCTACTTCCGTAAAGATTTACTGCCTTGGAAACCCGATGGGGTTGCTATGAGTTGGAATTGACTTGATGACAGTGGGTTTTTTTGGGGGGTTTATAAATACATATGTAGAAATACCCTCTGTCAAACCTATATATAGCTGTGGGTGTTGTCTCATTTCCCTTCCCACCCCTGTTCACCTTGCATATCTATTTATATATCCATTCATAGATTATTGTTACTACTATTATTGCCTGATTATGTATGTAATAGTATTTACCTTTGTGGCATTTAACTCTTGTGCTTCTCTCAGTGTCATCCTTTGTCTTGATCATTTTATGCTGATAACGCCTTTCTCTTCATCCAAGTTAGTATGTGTCTACTTTCTGGTTAGTGATTACCCTTCCCTTCTGCTCCCACCCAGATAACCTTTAAACAATGTTTCTTTCTGTGAGTAAACTTTTTCTTGACTTTATAATAGTGGTCTCATATAAAATTTGTCCTTTTGTGATTGAGTAATTTCACTCAGCATAATGTCTCCCATGTTATGAGGTGTCTTGCAAATTCATTGTTACTCATTAACATGTAGTATTACATTGTATGTAAGTACCATAATTCATCTGCTGATGAGCACTTAGTTTGTTACCATCTTTTCCTTTGGTGAATGAAATTGCTATGAACATGGGTATGCATATATCTATTTGTTTCATGACCCTTATTTCTCTGGGATATATACCTAGTAGTGATTTTGCTGAATTGTATGATATTTCTCTTTCCAACGTTTTAAGAAGGTACCATACCATTTTCCACAGTGGTTCCACCATTTCACAGTCTCACCACCAATGTATGAGGGTTCTAGTCTCTCCACATTCTTGACAACATTTGTTGTTTTCTGTTTTTTTGAACTTTGCTATTATTGCTAGGGTGATATGGTAGTTAAAGTTGTATGTCAGTTTGGCTGGGCTGTGGTTTTGAGTGGCAGGGGTAGCTTCATGTGGTTATTCCCCATGATGGGATTGTAATCACCTCTAAGGTGGAATCTGCTGTGAGGAGCTAAGGAGCTGCCTTTGGGAAATGGCCTGCTTCCAGTATATAAGGAGAAGCTTTAGGAAAGGTCTCTAGCTTTTGGCACATCTGGATCCTGCATTTGGCTGAGTTCTCATCTCAGTAGCCTCCCATGTTGCCTGCCAATCTTGGGATTGATTGTTCTGGATTTCTATCTGTAGATTTAGAATCATTTCTCATTTTTCATTTATTTTGTCATTTTGTTCTTGTATTTTCTTCCAGAATTCTTCTAGGGTTTTTTCTATGTTTTCCTCGGTCTGTCTCTCAATCCTTTGAA